TAGTGAAGATCTTCACTATACGTCCGATGTAGAGTCCAGATCACAAGCGAGTACTTCGAGCTTGTTGGGTCTGGCGGTGTTGATCTGAGATCTTGACTGTAGGCTGCCTTAAGGGTGTGTTTCTTTGAGTTTCCTTTCCGTCGTGCTTACCGCTTCCAATAGCGGGATCTTGATAGTTGAGAGTCGATAGACACTCCAGGTCAAGCAGTAAATCCGGTTAACCATCCTTGATCTGCAAGGAAACGTTCACTAGGTAGTGTGATCTGGCCAAACTATTATCCAAGTATCACAACCAACATTAAATCTGCTATTCCCTACCTTGACTGAGCTTGATAAGGCCAATGTCGTTCCGGCAGGAAGTGTGTAACAAAATGCAAATTCGAGTATGATTTGTAGTTAGGTCCTATACACCAACTATCCCTACCACCACAACCCCTTGATCCCTTTTCTTCAGCTATGTAACCGCTCTTCCTTGTTGTTCTTCGTCGTCCAGCTGTCCTTGGCACCGGATCTTGGCTGATCTGCAACGTAGTCCTCGTCTTAAGGCTGGAGTTTTGGCGGATCTCTCCAGATCATGATGATCTTGGTCACTCAGGGTGTGTCGAGTCAGGATTCATCTTGCTCCAGAAGTCCTCATAATGATCTTCCACATGCTGGTCGTCCTTGATCTGGTGTCACCGTCCGGGATTCGCAGCCTTACCGTTGGATCGTGGTAGACCTCTCCGAATCAGGACATCTGCACTCCAAAATTTGATGATCTAAGTCATCCAGAACATGTTGAGGCAGGACCTGTCTTGATTTCGCTTATCCGTACCTTTACCATGACCTTCCAACGCAAATCAATCCAATCTAGGCCCAGGCATACTCAAGAATTCAGGATCTGCGACGTCGGCTCCTGGATCGTCAGGATCCCGTTCTGTCATGTCGGGATCTGAACTGCTTGACTCCGATCGGGTCCACCAAGTTGTCTTAACACAAGATCTCGTGATCATTTACGCAATCGCCTTGATATAGTCGCCCAAGCTCGAGATATTCGAAGTCCATCCTCTTATATCGTCAATCTCCACTTGGCAACCCGAGATCTCGGATTTGCCGGATCATTCCTCGTCATATCCTGATTTACTGGATCCAGGCATTCTTGTGCGTCGCCGTCGTCATGTCTGACTCCATCGTGGCGCCCTTCGTTCCAATCTATCACTCTCAAGTCCAATCTACTTCAACATTGCCATGTCCAGGTTGGTCACGTCACTAATCCGAACAGTGCCCATCCATCATATTCCATCATCTCATTTTTCAAAAAGCACTCTAACACATTCGTACCCTTCGGTCGAGCTCCAACTGGACGTTCGGGATAGCGATTCCGGTTGGGTATCTTTCGCTCGTACCAGAACTTCCCATTCCATACTCGACTCGCTGGGATATCCTAGCGCCCCAACCCACTGGGGGTCTGGAATATTCCTTCCAGACCCTCAGTGGGTTTGTAAAGAGTGCCACAGCGCCAGCACCGCCTTCAGCTGTTGCCGCGCCTCCCACATGCGCCGTACGCAACTCGCTGGCAAGCTGATGCCGCCAATTCCTGGAATCACTGTCGGATCGGTTGTTCCGTCAACTGGGACAAAATATGAGCTCGAAACTGTCGCCCACAGCTGGCTGATATTAAACATCGCTTGCGCAATGTTATCCGTAGGATCATCTATGCTGTTGGCCTTATCCACGGCCAACTCCAATGTTCGTGGTTTAGGTCGCTGTCTGACGAGTTTCTTGGTATCTTGTCCAGATTCCAATAGAACTGTTCAAATAAAACTCTTTCACTTACTTTATTTCGTCCAATCACATCCGTAATGCTGCCACAAAATCTGCGTATGTTTCTCCCGGCATCATTCTTCTCATGTTCACTCTCCATTCAACTATAGACGTATCTAACTTATCGCCGTAGCGTCGAGAAACCGCCTTCTTCGGGCTCGTTCACGTGTTTTCTTCCACTGGTAGTCTTTGCTTGAGGTTAACCCACCAACGTGCCGCGTTTTCCATCAGCTTGTTTCTCAATCTGAAGTAGAGCGCGTGATCCGACCACGATCCACGTCCCGATTAAGCGGCTCCTTGCTGTGCCAAATCTACACGTTCTATGCACGTCGAGACGGAAACTTTTGGTGAGGTAAATGTAGGCAACTCCAAATTTTTCTCGCTTCGTCGACGAAGCGAGAAATCTCAATGAACCTATAAAATCACGCATCCGACGAGCTCGGCGGGAGCCCGGCTCCCACAGAAACAGGCAAGCCGTAAAAATTTTGGATCACAGCACGCGGGTTTTATTGCTCGGGGACTTATCACCTTTCCGAGGGGAGTCCGAGTCCTTTGGTCACTTAGTGTTGGTAGCGCCGAGGGCAGCGCGTGTGCGATCAGAGACTTCGAAAGCTACTGCAGCGGGTGCGTGGCTAAGGATACGGTTGTCGCTGCGGGCAAGTGAGACGTGTGTACCAAGTACACAACGAGCGTCGGCAGCCAGGGCAGTGTGTGCGTGACCAAGTATACGAGGAGCGTTGAGAACAAGTTCATCGCGTGTGTGACCAGAGAGGCAGCGAGTCTCAACACTAAGTACAACCTGTTTGTGGTCAAGTCCACGGAGCCCTTGAGAATAAATTGAACGTGAGAGGTCCGACGCGCTGAAAGCAAAACTAGATTAATCCCTGGCGTTCCGCAGCTTGCGTCGGCTAAGCAAACCCAACTTAGATGAGTTTTATCATTCTCAGTGAACTCCACTCGAACGCCCTACTCGAAAATAAACGAAGTCTGAGAGGTGGTCGATCGACGTAGTTGAAACCCAGGAGGCATCATAAAGTTTGCAATAGCTTCTTGAACCGCGACAGGAGGTTTCACGGTTGCCATTTTAATCAGGAAGTAATTCAACGTATTATAACCGCAAAAGCGGACACCATCTATTGCTGAAGTCTCACCCGCCCTGTCCCCTGCGTCAAGTACTTGTCCTCAGCGCTCGACGAGCTCTCGGTTGCGCCCGTGTTACCACCAGCGCTTTTCGTGTTCACCACACTGAACGTGTTCTTAAAGTTCGCTGCGTCCTTCTCACGCCCATGTTCTCAGCGCCCGCCGCAACCTCAGTTCGCACCAGCTCCGCACTTGTTCTCAGCGAGCGCCGTGCGCTCGATCAAGGACACGATGCACTTGCTGTCGCAGATTGTTACGTCCGGGGTCATGCCTGGGTCCAACTTCTTCTCAAGGCCTCCGTGGACTTAACCACAAACAGGCTGTACTTAGTGTTGAGACTCGCGGCCTCTCTGGTCACACACGCGATGAACTTGTTCTCAACGCTCCTCGTATACTTGGTCACGCACACACTGCCCTGGCTGCCGACGCTCGTTGTGTACTTGGTACACACGTCTCACTTGCCCGCAGCGACAACCGTATCCTTAGCCACGCACCCGCTGCAGTAGCTTTCGGAGTCTCTGATCGCACACGCGCTGCCCTCGGTGCTACCAACACTCCTGGTATCTGTGGTCGCGTCTGCGTCCAGCTCGTTCTCAGCGCCCGCCGTGTCCTTGGGCACGCACACGTCACACTTTTTCTCAGCTCTCGTCGTGAACTTGGCACACACGGCTGCACTTATTCTCGTTATGCGGATGGTGTATGTTCTTACTTGGACTTAAATCCTCCAATCCGGTGTCATGCTAGCGAGCAGCACTTGACGGCAAGACACGTGAAGCGAGCACAACGTTCGATCGAGAGCGCTGTGCTCGCAGCTCACGTTCTTAACGGCAAGAGCAAAAAAGAACTGATTTGTTGAGCTCTTACAATAGTGCACGAATTCACAATGTTTGGATTTTCTGCTCGTGTATCCATGAGCTCGTCGGATGCGTGAATAGATTGGCATTTTTCACCTGTAGAAATAGCGTTCGGTCGTCCTCTTCCCGACGTTGTTCATAGTACAGCGTAGTAAATCATTTTGAGAGTGAATAGAGGCACTGAGTGAGATCGCACCTAAAAGGACTTTTACGGTACCCAATCGGTAAATTACCCTGATATATTACCAGATACTTTAATATTTCGAAAATCTGAAATCAGACACCCCCCCCCCCCTTTACGTCCCTCCGCAAAATGTTCAGAGCCGCTCATTTGGATTTTCGCGCGTCTAGGCCTCGAGTCCACCTTGGGTCGCTATTTGTGTACGTTAAGTTATTGCGCTTGTGTTGGTTGTTATTGTTGCTAAGAGATATTGTAACCGCACAGGAGACGGTCTGTGGTGTAGTGATTTCTAAGTAATCGCTGAAGTGGCTACCTTCAAGTTGCTCAAGCC